ACAGCACCCTCTAGATAAAGTTCCGTGAGACGAATAAGAAGGGCCTGGCACAGAGAGGCTAAGCAGCCTGACCTTGGATGCACAGCAAGACTTAACTATGACTCCCAGCATTCCACAACAGGAGTATGCAAGGAGACTTGACACCAAGCAGCTGGGTCTAAAAATTCCCCTCAGAGGCAGTGTGGCTTTAAGGACAAACACAGCTGGTTCCTCCAGACACAGACGGAAAGGGTAAGCCTCAGAGACGCGTGGGATTGGAAAGGTAATAGAGTAGGTGCCTCTGTGAGCCCAAGCATGCTAGCCCAGTCACAAGGGAGACAGAAATCACAGCCAGGACCCAAATAATCACCAAGAAATAACCGACTGCGGGGTGCTGTCTCTGCCGAGCGCACACAGGCAGAGCCTCAGCGGGACAGACGGTGAACGTGAAGGACCTGGGTCTCTGAAGGACTCGTCAACATGTCAGAGACACATCAGTGCTTCCTGCAGCCCATTCACCATAGCTGAGCGATGGAACTGCCCTAGGGACCCATCAGAGGAGGACGGATTAAGAAAATGGGACAGACGTATGTAAAGAACAAGTTATGTGGTCTATCAGGATGTGGATGTAACTGGAGCAGTCATCTGAGAGAGTCGGGCCAGTCTCAGATCGATGGACATAATGCGCTTTCCCTCGTTTGTGGTTCCTAGATTTTACACGTAACACTGCATTCATACGAACTAGTCACAAGTAGAATGAACTTTTCTAGTGAACAGAGGGGATTAGTTGTGGGGAGTGTGACTCGGGGGTGGTGAGAAACATGCTGGGGGGATGCACTCATCATACAGTATAGACCTGTAAGAAAATAAACTCTTTAAAAAGTCAGGCCTGGGGCTAGAGAGATAGTTCAGTAGTTAAGAGTACTGGCTGCTCTTGCAGAGGACCCCGGTTCGATTCCCAGAACCTACACGGTGGCTGTCTTAGTTTGTTCTTTATTGCTGTGACAAAACACTCTGACCAGTACCAACTTGGGGAGGAAAGGGTTTATTTGTCTTACATCTCCCAGGTCGCACGCAGTTCATCAGGGAGCCCAAGGTAGGAACTCAGGGCAGGAACCTAGAGGCAGGAGCTGGAGCACAGGCCATGGAGGAATGCTGCTTACAGGCTTGCTCCCTTGGCCCCTGCTCAGCCTGCTTTCTTATGCAACACAGGCCCACCTGCCCAGGGGTGGCACCACCCACAGTGGGCTGGGCCCTCCCACATCACTCATCAAGAAGATGCCCTTCAGACATGGCCACAGGCCAGTCCAATAGAGGCAATTTCCCGATTGAGGATCCCTCAACCCAGGTGTGTCAAGCTGACACTAAAGCTATCCAGCACAGTGGCTAACAACCATCCGTAATTCCAGTTCCAGGGGATATCACGCCCTTTTCTGACCTCCATGGGGATTTCATGACATGGTGTACTTACATACATGCAGGAAATACACTCATACACATAAAATAAAATAATACATAAAAATATTATTAAAAACAAGTCATGCCTCCAGATGGTGCTGGGACATGAAGTTGGGAGAGAGGTGGGTTGGTGAGTCCTGTGGGGGTTGGAGGGAGGTCATGGGGGGATGAATAAGATCAAAATACACTATATACATGTATGAAATTTTCAAAGAATAAGTAAAAAATACTATTTTTAAAAAATGAGCAGCCAGGTGTGGTGCACGACTTTAATCCCAGCACTTGGGAGGCAGAGGCAGGCAGATCTCTGTGAGTTCAAGGCCAGCCTGGTCTACATAGCGAGTTCCAGGACAGCTGGGGCTACAGGGAGACCCTGTCTCAAAGAGAAACAAAACAAAAACTAAAATTAGCAACTGGCATAGCTGTGTGGCCAGCAGCCATGGGTTGTGGGCTGAGTCCAGGCCACAACTCAGGCCCTACCAACTATATCACATCATGGTGATGGCATCCAGGTAGGGGCATGTGAGAGGGAGAGGTCATGTGAGGACATGAGGCCCCAGGGTGGGGAGGAGCCACTGTTGGCCTCCATTGGACCCTGCCCCTCAATACCACCCCACTTAGACCAGGACAGGGGCCCCAGGGACGCCCTCCAGCCATGCCCAGCACTGCACTGGCAGAAGACAGTGGCCTGTGTGTGGTCTGTGGTTTGCACCTGGTGAGCATCACTGTTAGAACATGGCAGATGCCCAGGTGAGCATGGGTGAAGTGTCACAGAGGGCAAGACAGCCACATACAGCCTACCTTACTCAGGAATTCCCAGTGCCCACAGAGACCAAAAGAGGGGGTCAGGTCCCCTGGAACTGGAGTTACAGAGAGCTGTTAGTCTGTGGGTGCTGGAAACTGAACTAGGGTCCTCTGCAAGAGCAGCCAGTGCTCTTAACCACTGAGCTGTCTCTTCAACCCTGTCCCTGTTTTCTAAAACAATAGAAAGGATTAGAGGGAAAAGAACCTTTCAGAACAGCTCAGAGAAAAACCATCAGTAAGGTGGCCACACCCCATCCAGAGTCACACAGTGACAGAGTGGACAACGGATTGGAGGTCAGGCCTCCTCCCACAATGGCTACTGAAACCATCTAGAAATGGGGGTCCTACACCTCACATACTACAACATTTCTGTCTAGAATGGCCAAAGGGTAAGCTGGCCTGACTACAGGAGATGGAGAAGCAAGCTTTGTTTCCAGAACCTTCCACGGGGGGAGTGACCATTTGCCAAAGCCAGGCTGGCCACTATCAGCGAGGGACCCATGGGGGTGAGCCATCGTGTCAGGGACCAAAGAACTGCCCTCCCCAACCCCATATGGTGACCCTGCCTAGCTGAGGATACATTGGGATGGTACGGAAATTGCCTCTGAACACACACAGCCAGCTGCGCCTGGGGAAGGACAACGGGCAGGGCAGGCAGGGCAGGCTCACTCCATGGTGCAGACCAGATGCTGGGCAAAGAGGGGACCAGGTAGCATCTGGGGCCTGGTCCTCTTACCTCTGTGCAAGCCTTGGAACTCAGAAGGAAAATGACAGTGTCTAGGAACAAAAATCTCTGGCAGGGTACCCTCAACTCTGCCTTGGGCCTGACCCCCAAACCAAGAGGGAACAGAGTCGCTGTGAGACACATTAGAGGCCCAGAGAAGACCTGCCCAGAAGACGGGGAGCCCTGCCAAGGGCGGGGACTGAGGGGGTCCAGTCAGTCCTGAGGATCAGCGCTGTAGGGTCCCATCCTGGAGCCAGGGCCAGGATTCTCTGGGCAACTCACAAACCCTTCTCAGATTTCTAAATGAATAAAGGAAAATACAGGAGGTGGAAGAAGGCAGGGAAACATCCACAGAACACAGTCATTAGCATATGAAAGAGGGGCTGGGAAAGCAGCTCCAAGGCAGGCGGGCCAGGCCCTCGATTCAGTTCCCAGCTCTGTCAAAATACACCATAAATATAATAAATAGATGAGATGTGGACAGACAAAACACGACTCCAGCACGTGCTTCTCCAAGGAACTTAGAAATGCATGACACAGCCAGGCTGTCACTGCTGCTGCCAGAATGCCGGGGTAGGACTGTGGGGGGCTGCCTTCTCTAACCAGAGCCTGGAGTAAACCCAGGAGCCTCTTAGGCCTCCAGGGTACTTTCTGATCTGGCAAACTTGACCTTTAACAGCTTTCCAGGAGAGAGGAAAGACCAAGGCCCAGAGCCGCTTCTTCTGTAGGGTCTTAAGACATGACCCGCGGTCAGTGGCTGCATACGGCTGTCCCTTAGATATGGGCCAGCAGGACTCACCACAGTGTAGGGGTCAGTGGAGCAGTGAGCATCAGGAAGGAACCATCTGCTGTCAAACTACCCAGCCTGTTCTACAACCTGGACTCCTAGCTTTATAAAAAATATTTTATTGATTGATTTAATATTTATTTATTTATTATTTATTTATTTATTTATTATCATTGTGTGTGCGCATGCCATGGCACACGTTGGAGGTCAGAAGATAGCTCTCAAAAATCAGTTCTCTCCTGTCATCTTGTGGGATCTGGGGATCAAACTCTAATATCCAGGCCTCCTCCCAAGGTCCTCTACCTGCTGAGCCATCTCTCCAATCTCGGAACTCATGTCTTTTGGGTGGTCCTTGGGAGCAAGCCACGAAGCCAGTGAAGCCAGTCCTGGCCCCTGGTGCCTCCTGACCTTCATCCAAGGCCTCTGGGGACATCTGTGCTCTGTCAGGAACAAGGCCAGGACTGAGCCAACTAGGCACACAAGGAAACAGGCTACCAGGAGTGTGGCCAGAAACAGAAGTGGGTCCTGGAGACAGATGCAGAAATTACCAGTAACTGGGGAGCAAATAAACACTGATGTTTAAAGAACTACACCAGCCTCACAAGTCCTTCAGGGAATCAGAAGTTTTGTTTTATTTAACACAAGGAGAAGATGGTGAGCAAAGGCCAGAGAGGACAGTGGGGGCCTAGGAGAGCGGGATGAGGAGGTCAGGGAACAGGTGACAGCTCGGCTCTAAGGCCTGGGGCGGGGGACAAGCAGCACAAAGCAGGGCATCTGGCCTGGACAGGGCCTGCTGTCCCTAACTGGGCAGGTGTCTGTTAGCCACATGGGGTCTCCTTGCGCTAGAGGGTGGGGTAACGACTGCTTTAGAAGAGCAAGGGGACAGCTGGCCTGTCCATGGTAGGGCCACACTGGACACAGCTCAAGGCCGTGGTCCTAGAGGCCACCCATACCACACAACCCTGTCTCAACGGGTGGCCAGATGCTCAGGGAAAGGGAAAGCCTCTGAAAGGCACAGAGCTCACTGCTAGTTGACAGGTCTCAGCCACCATAGGGGAGTAGCCACCACCTGACCAGGTGAAGAGAGGGTGAGAGAGGCAATACAGACACTTGCAGCTGATGGAGGAGCTGAAGCAGGAGGTGGAGCCTGGCCTGCCAGGGTAGGTAGCAGAGGGCAGCAGGACCCAGGCCTGGCTCAGGGCTCTGAGGATGTAAGGAGGGAATCAGAGCCCAACCCAGGGACCCAAATCACCAGGCCTGGCTGGAGCAGGCCGGGCGGCAGAGCAGGGACACGGAGGAGGACCCGCGGCAGCAGCTGGGCTGGCAGGAGGAGGCACAGCAGGAGGAGGCGGGCACGCAGCAGGCGGGTCTGCACACGGGGCGGCAGAGCAGGGACATGCTGGAGCAGGGTCTGCAGCAGACGGGCTTGCAGCAGAGGGGCTTGCAGCAGAGGGTCACACAGCAGGGGGAGGCGCTGCCGCAGGGGGAGGAGCTGCACCCGGAGGGCTGGCAGCTGGACTGCTGGCAGCAGGATGAGGAAGACCCACAGCAGACAGGCTCACAGCAGACGGGCTTGCAGCAGAGGGGCTTGCAGCAGAGGGTCACACAGCAGGGGGAGGAGCTGCCGCAGGGGGAGGAGCTGCACCCGGAGGGTTGGCAGCTGGACTGCTGGCAGCAGGATGAGGAAGACCCACAGCAGACAGGCTCACAGCAGACGGGCTTGCAGCAGAGGGTCACACAGCAGGGGGAGGAGCTGCCGCAGGGGGAGGAGCTGCATCCAGAGGGCTGGCAGCTGGACTGTTGACAGCACACGCAGCAGGCAGGTCTGCACACGGGGCGGCAGAGCAGAGACATGCTGGAGCAGGGTCTGCAGCAGATGGGCTTGCAGCAGAGGGGCACACAGCAGGACTGCTGGCAGGGGGAGGAGCTGCAGCTGGACTGTTGACAGCATGGTGTGCAGGAGCTGGGGCAGGTGGATTGGCAGCAGGGGCTGGACACACAGCTCACTGGGGTGCAGACGAGGGTCAGGCAGGGGGCTGGGGCACAGCAGCTGGACTGGCAGTCGCTGGGGGCGCAGCAGGGGGCACAGCAGGGCTCGCAGTAGCTCTCTGGACAGTCGTCCACCTGCCAGGAGGACTCGGTGCGGGCATCAGAGCAGACAGACATGGTGGAGGTGGCCATGGCAGGTTGGGCTGGAGGAGAGTTAGTGAGTGTGAATGTGTGTGAGTGTGTGTGAGAGAGAGGTGCTCGGCCGTGGCCTTTATACCCCCTGGGCTGTTGGCTGTGTCACAGCACTTCCGTGAAGCCTTCTCTTTTCCTGGCTGTGTTTGGAGTCATGTGTTGTCCTGTTGATGAACTGTCTACAAACACTGTCGGGTGGTGAGGCTCCGGAGCTGTTAGTTCCTGGAGGAAATCCAGCAGAGACGCTCAGGGCACATCCGGGCAGGAGCAGAGGTGGCCATGTGAGGCTCTGCAGGCTGCAGCCCCGTTCCACCTCAGAAGCCTTAGTTTCTGGAACAGCTTATTGGAGATAGGGCCAAGGCGGGAGCAGCTTAGAGGATGGTGGCCTGCCTCCACGGGCTCTACTGCTGACCTGCCGCCTGGGGTGCCTCTGCTGCCAGGGGGACCTGGGATGCGGGGGGCTTTCTACCTGGTCATCGCTAATGGAGAGTCTTTCTGGAACAGAGTCTAGATCACAGATGATGTGAGGACGATGCGGGTCTGGCATGGTGAGGACAGCGTGCAGGGCAGATGCCTTGTTTCATTTCAAGTTGAACTTCTCTAGAGTCCACCCAGACAGTGTCCAGAACGTTCCATTCCTCCTTCCTGTCCTCTCGGCTCTGATGACCTCTCCTGGGACCTGGTCCTCAGGGACCCACTGTCCTTGTGGACACAGCTAGTTCTTCCCACTTGGCACAGCTCCTCTACCCAAGGGGCAGCTCTGCTACCATCTCCTAAGCAGACAGTTCGCTTGTGTGACACACCCATACCAGTCACACCACCCATGACCACGCTCGGGCTGCTGTGCCCTGGTTGACACCTGATGTTCTGGTTTCTGCTCTTTCCTCCTCCCTGTACCCTGCTGTGTCTCTGAAGGGTCAAGGGCAGGTCCTTGGGACCACCATGGCTGCAGAGTCTCCAGCTGGCCTCTCCCTCTATCAGGCACTGGGTAGCAGGGCCTGGGGCCTCCTGACTGATGGAACAGACACTGTGCTGGTGCCCTCCACATGGTTGGAATTAATGGAGAAGTGTCATTTCACATAAGGACTGAAACTCACCAGGTTTATTGAAAGACACAACTCTGGGGCTGGAGAGATGGTTCAGTGGTTAAGAGCACTGGCTGCCCTTGCAGAGGACTGGGGTTTGATTCCCAGTACCCACATGGCGGCTGACAACCATCCATTGGATCCAGTTCCAGGGGATCCAATGCTTTCTTCTGACCTTTGAGGCATTGCACAACACAGATGCACTTATACGTATGCATGCAGGCTGACAAGGGTTTCAAATACAACTATTTTCTTTCAGAAACAAGGGCAAAGTAGAGACACCCTGATAAATAAACCTAAGGGACTCTGCTGCTGACTGACCTGTTGTAAGTACTTGGCGGAATTCCTCAGACCAGGACTGAAACTCAAGTCCACATGAACAGCACAGGCCACAGGAAAGGTGATTGTGCAATTAATAATGACAGTTCAAATGCATGTGCTTCCTGTTATGCCCTTAGTTTGTTAAAAATCAACTGAAAGTAAATTTTTATGACATTTTTGACAGCTCTATAATGTATAGGGATAAATATATTCTGTAAAAACAGCACGAAGGAGCTTCCTAGGAACAGAGCTTAACTGTGGAACGGAAATGACTCTGGAGGATGATCCAGTACACAGGAGACGTCAGGGCCTTGAAGCGATTGGAAGACCGGTCAGCACAGACAGGATGACAGTGGGCTCACACTCCCTTCCTCTCCAAGAGGCTTTAAAAATCATTCATTTTGGTGTGTGCCTTTAATCCCAGCACTCAGGAGGCAGAGGCAGGTGGATCTCTGTGAGTTCAAGGCCAGCCTGGTCTACATAGTGAGTTCCAGGACAGCTGGGGCTACAGGGAGACCCTGTCTCAAAAAGACCGAAAAAAAAAAAAAAGTCATTCATTTATGGGAAGAGATCATAACACATCAGGGTTTTTAAATATATATATTTTTTAAATTAGGTGTGTGTGTTTCTTTGTGTGTGTGCCATGTGTGTGCAGGTGCCCACTGAGGCCAGAAGTGGGTGTAGGATCCCCTGGAGCTGGAGTAACAGGTGGTTAGTTATCCATTGTGGGTGCTGGGGTTTGAATTTGGATTCTTTGGAAGAACAGCAGGTACCCTTAACTAATGAGTCATCTTGCAACCCCACATCCTTTTGTTTGTTGGTATTTTTGAGACAGGGTCTCCCTGTAGCCCTAGCTGTCCTGGAACTCACCATATAGACCAGGCTGACCTCAATCGCACCGAGATCTGCCTGCCTCTTCCTCCTGAGTGCTGGGACTGAAGGTGTGTGCCACCACTCCTGGCTATTCTTGGTTTTTAACATTTGTAGATACAGTGCATGATATAGGACCACTGAAGGGGCAAAAAAGGAGAATGGGCCTCCCTCTGCTTCCCTGGGTTGCACAGCTCACCAGCCTCTTTCCTAGACTCCAGGGCTGAACTCGGCCCAGGGCCACCACTGCTTCCTGATCCCTTGCATCCAGATGTACTCAGTTCCTTCTCCAGGGCCCCAGGTGCTCTCTGGGCCTGGTCCTGCCCTCACCTCCCTCTGTTTCCCTGGGCTTGCACAACCTCACCGGCCTCTCTCCTGGGTAAGTCGATTGTGCCTCCACGCCTTGACTCCCCCAGCCTCATTCACCCTCCCATCTCTCCTGCCCATCTCTCTTCCTAGCCTGGGTCCTGTCCCATTCCTTGTCTTGGCGCCCCAGACAGCATTGGGGGAATCACCACTGCTTTCTGATTCTTTGCATCCAGACCCAGTTCCTCAGTGCAATCCCCAGGAGCCGTTAGGGCCGCTTCCCACCCCCACCTCCCTTTGCATCTCTGGGTGGCACAGCCACCAGCTAGCTGCCCGAGACCAGCACCTCTCCTGGGCCCTGCTCCCAGGCCAGGAAGGAGAAGAATCCCAAGATAATGGCATGGATCAGATCTTCAACAGAATCATAGAAGAAAGTTTCCCAAAATTAAATAAAGACATGCCCATGCAAATACAAGAAGCATATAGAACACCAAGCAGACAAGACCAGAAAAGAAACTCTCCACGGCACATCATAGTAAAAACACTAAACGTACAGAACAAAGAGACAATACTGAAAGCTGCAAAACAGAAACAAGTCACATTTAAAGGAAAACCCAGCTGACTTTTCAAGCAAACTATGAAAGCCAGAAGAGCCTGGACCAAAGTATTCCCAGTTTTAAATGACCACAGATGCCA